GCGATCTACCGTTTACTTTGCTGTGTGTTTTGCTCATCCACCGGTGTAAGTTTATTTTGCGGTTTTTCTAGTTATATGATGTTTGTGTTCAGCATTAAAGCTGTTTTGGTTTAAGTTCTGTCTCTGGAGTCTGCACCTTGGGTCCTATTCCTGTCTGCACACAGCCGCACCTAACACCTTAAAGCATTTTTATTAGCAAGCTAATGACAGTAGGGGCCTGAAATGTTGTTATTAAGAATTACATTTTTGCCCTGGCACCTTTTCAAGCCAATGTGGCGAACATCTTCATCTTAAACGCAAAACATCTGCAGTTCAAGACCAGAAAGAGACACAATCTCAGCTTCACAGGTTCACAAGCTAGGACCCTCCTTGTGCTGGCCCCCAGCTTGGATAAATGGGGGGGTGGGGTTGTGTCATATAGGGTGTAAACGAGTCATCCCTTCAGAAATAAGGAGCCAGCTACTTAGCTAATAGATATGATAAGTATAAGATGTGACAATATGATAATTGTGGAGCACTCAAATCACAGAAAAACGAATCAGTAACACGTTGCAGAGCAAACATTCGGACATTAGACACCAGCTTGTGGTAAAAGTGCTCATCCTCTTTCACCTCTGTTTCATCCTCTGACGCTCAAACAGCTGAGGTAAAATATTCAGGCTAGCATCCAGTTCTTTTGAATAAATCATCATGTTTTCTGTTCACTCTCAGTCGACTTTATTATATGCATTACACATAAAGGATATACCCTTGAAGTATCACTGACATAAGACACACAGAATATAATAAATGTTGCAGAGGCTGCTTGGTGTCGAGTGTGTGTCTGAATAAATGCGCAGCAGCATGCACGCTCAGCAAAACAACCCCGGGAACATGAAAGTTTAACAAAGCCAGTGCTTGCATTTAGGACACCAAAGCACCAAATGTCAAAGTCACGGATATTGCTTTGTGCAGTGTGGCCACACAGAGTGCAATATGTGGTATACAATATATTAGAGCTTTAAGTTAGACTTTTCTACTTGGTTATAAGATATTTATTATTAAACATTATACTTTTCACAGGAAAAAAAAATCTCTATCTATATACCTGATAGTCTTGCTGCTATTTCCACTGAGACAAAAAAAAAAACCCCTTAAAAAGCTATTTTTGTGCAGAAACAATTGCATTTCTTGTGTTTCAGTGCATTAACACCCAGGCTCACGCAACTAATTAGAAATGACGAAAAATACAAAAAAGTGTCATTCAATTAAAACTGAAATGGATGGCAACAGTAAAGAGATGTTGATGACTGGCAGGATAAGTAGAAGATGGATTATTCAAAATAAGAAACATTAAATAAGTGCATGTGAGCAAGAACGTGGTTTTCAATTCACGTTCTTTGATTTATATTATTCCTTTCATTTAGTTGTGATTAAACAAAATCAATATTCAATACACAGGCCAGTTTTACCTAAAGCCCTTCCCCTTCCTGATTTTTTACTTTTTTGCATTTTTGTCACATATGCATGTTTCATTTCGTCACACAAAGATAACCAGCGTCAATGCAAAATGCAGTTTTTAAATAATGGATCCATTTATACATGGCCCTGTGTGATAAAGCGATTGCCCCCTAAACCTAATAACTGGTTTTGCCACCCCTAACAGGGAGAACTATAATCAAGTGTTTCTGATAGAAGCCAATGAGTCTTTCAAATCACTGTGGAGGAATTTTGGCCCACTCTTCTTTGCAGAATTGTTTTAATTAAGACACATTGGAGGGTTTTTGAACATGAAGGTCATGCCAAAGCATCTCAGTCAGATTAGAATCCTAACGCTGACTGGGATGCTCAAAGATCTTCATTTTGTTTTGGGTTTTTTTTTTTAGCCTTAGGACATGAACAGAAGGCCAGACATTCTCCTACAGGTTTTTTAAAAAGATGAAAAAGAGTTTTCACATGACTGTATATGATCCTGTTAGAATAGAATAATACATTACATAATGTAACTGGACCACAGAGCAAAGTCTGCTTTCCACCCACCTTGTTGTTGTGACAGAGACTGGGTACTTTGATATACGAGATAAATTTCACACCCTCTGGGTGAATGAAGGGACGGCTATGATTTCAGATGTTAAGGTTAGGATGTGGACCCAAGTAACCTTGCCAAAAGTGAAAGGTCCCTGATGGGATGACCAGTCAAGCGTGCAGTCAGGCTGAGTGTCTGCTTTCTCTTCTCCCCACACACTGTCAGGTCAGTAAACTCTACTATTGTGCAATATCACCCTACATTTTTTCCAACCCTCTCCATTTCTGTAACATCAATACACACACACACACACACACACACATATACACACACAGACACACACACGCGCGCGCGTGCGTATACAAACACAGCCTAGAGTGCAAAATGGGATCTCTAATGCATCCACTGAAGTGGTTTTAGCTATCTGACTGCAACATGATACCAGCATGGCTTATAGTGTTATTATACTGCAGCTACTCTGTAGAGTCATGCTTTCGCCAATCTCTCTTCTTCTTTTTAGTTCAAAACATGAACATGAATATCTCAAAGATTAAATACTGATATATCCACTGGTCCTCCTTACTATCAAAATGAATCAGAATCAGTCATTTGGTACATTAAAAAATGTTGAAGTGCTGGATAGTTCAAAGATTTTTTTCAATCCAGCAGTGTGCACTCAAATGCCATATTTGAACTCATTTCTGGTATATAGTTACATTTCACAATAACAAAAGCATGTGGAAAGATGAAATTTTACCATGAAATTCTTAGTCACAAAGATAAAGAAAAAGGTTATATAATGCTAAAATTCCACAGCAATTATCCAACGTTTGTCCAAAGTTTACACAGATGGAGATAAAATGACCCGGGTTTTACATTATGAACGGAAATTTTTGTTTTTGTAGTACAGTTTGTCATATTTACTCAATCCAGCGTGGAAGTTGAATGAAAATGTCTTTTTTTTTCCATTGTTGTAACTTTGATCTTGAAAAATATTCCAAGTGGTTTATTTTACAGTGCTGTGAAACTGAAATAAGCATGATTCCGAATTATTGTCATTGAGTGACTTTTTTTTATTAGTGCTGGACTATATTATATTAATATATTATTAACTAGCCAGTTATCAGACATTTTTTGATGTATTTGTCCCAAATTACAGATCCTGATTCATTTTGATGGCAAGAAAGATCAGTGAAGATGGTTTTGAGGTATTCATTCAATTCAATTCAATTTTGTTTATACAGCGCCAAATCAAAACAAGAGTTGCCTCAAGGCGCTTTATATTGTAAGGTAGACCCTACAATAATACAGAGAAAAACCCAACAATCACATGACCCCCTATGAGCAAGCGCTTTGGCGACAGTGGGAAAGAAAAACTCCCTTTTAACAGGAAGAAACCTCCGGATGAACCAGGATCAGGGAGTGACGGCCATCTGCTGCGACCGGTTGGGGTGAGAGAAAGAAGACAGGATAAAAGACTGCAACATGTTCAAACATTTCCACAGCAAAAAAAACAAAACAAAATTGAAAGGGGGTCTTTGGACCATTTTTCAAAACAAATATAACTTTAAAAGTATTTGATATATAAAGCTAAAAATTTCACAGCACTCATTATATATGTTCAATCTTTGCATTATAAACATTTTTATGCAAATCTGCAAACGTTCTCGAAATCGACAGATTTGAGATGGAATGAATAAAGCAAGGCCTCCATTATCAGTTATTAAGGTTTTTTTTGTCCGCTTGCTATGATGATGAGCATAAATGTTATTGTAACAAAAGCTTTCAAAGCAGTGCTTGAATTAAATCATTTTTAGGAACCTTTACTCCCCGAGTCTTCACTTGTATTGAAATGGTTCTCCAGATATTTCCAGAGGTTTGAATTCCACTTCTATGGAGAAGTACAGGAATTATGACCTGGTAAACACAGTATCCTGCATTTTCCATAATTTGCGTTATTACCACTCATTAAAGCCTGTTTCCCTGACAAACTCATACATATTCCACACCTGCAGGTTGTCATAAAGGTTTTCACAGCCCACGCTGAAATAAACTCATGACTCACTATGACATCACCTTAGCCCCACACTTTATTCAGCTCCTGCAAGGCCACAGTAGACATTAAACAGCTTTAGTCATTGGATAGCTGAGTCTATCTGAACATCTTGTACATAATCAATGCCGTGTCCTTTAAAAATCTTTGCCACTTTGTAATGCAGTGTTTCTTTTAATGGGCAGCTTAGCCCAAGATTACTCCAATGGTTTTCATTTTGAAAACTTTAGATGTGGAAACATAGCATGCTCTTCAAGCTCCATACAGTCCAGCAGAGCCTTTTACTCTGAAACAAGTGCTCCTAGATGCTTTTCATCGCTCTGCATTTGTATTAGTGGGAACTGCACAGTACAAAATCAGCATTGCCTAGCAACCAGGTGACCTTTCTTATTAGCTGTGTGTGAATGTGCATGTATGAGTGACTGTGATTGTAACAGGCAGGGAAATCCTCACATCAGGGTGGGAAAGCAAACCGGCATGCACTTAAATACAGCGCATGCATATCAGACTTGTGAATACACACACACACACACACACACACACACACACACACACACACACACACACAC